TTGGAAGAGGCATCCTTGCTCATCATTACTATGTATTTAGTTTGTTTGTTTTATACCCAGGAGCAGAAAAGAAGACTTTTAAAGAAATAATGCATTTTCACTATTTAATCAATAAAGCCCCCAAAACCACTGCAGAAAAATACATAACCTGCATAAGCTGGTTTACGTGGATTATGTAATTTTTTTCTGCAAATGTTGCACAAATTAATAACTATATCAACGAAGAAAAACATTTTATTCTTTACATTTTCTTTACATTTTTTATGTGTTTTAAATTCATAATTATTTTTTTAAGATAATCGTTCCCAGGTAATGAATACTCATACATGTAAACAGACTACAACCTGCTGATCATTCAGGTGATTAAATCAAAATGTTGGATATCTGGTAAAAGAACCTGTCAAAATATTGGCTATATATTGGGAATAACTGATCAATACAGAGGGATCATGGCAGGTGTGACAGATCGACAGGGGATGCTTACTCCTCCTAGTCACCTGATCCCACCCCTGGAGTTTCCATGGTCCGTGTTTATTTGTTTGTTTTTTTCCCAACCTTTTCAAGATTCATATTTTTACTGGATTTATTTACTTTTCATATCTCAGATCAGCGCGATCCGAATGCCTTTGGGAGAGGATGACGATGCCGGTGTCTAGGTTATTTCTAATTTATTACTTTTTATGTCCATTATTCTCAAAACTCCTCCCTCGACTTTGGTAATGCTGGCATGTTTTTGCTTCGTTGTCTATATATAGTTTTACATCGCAACATTTTCTTATTGGCCGCAGGAGCGGCCGATCTATTTGTAATCGTGTTTTAATGTGCACATAGGGAAATGAGACGTTATTTTTTCATTGCTTCGGTGAAATAATTCCTTATTGATAACATGCATTAAAGGTATAAATAAAAGTTTTTAAAATTTGCTTAATACTAGATTTAAATGGATGTTATTACATTTCAATTTGTTTTTCATTTCTCATCAGATATTGAATAATTTATAATTTCATTAAAAAAAAAAGTTGTTACATAAACTGCTCCCCAATATAGGCATGCGTAGAAATAAAAACAAATTAACGTTTTAAGTTTCTGGATATGAATTACTGAGTCTGAAATGATTAAATTAAATTAATTGTAAAATTTTTAAGAAGAAGTAAATTTTTTTGAATAGACTGCAGGTGCAAACACAATTATTTTTACTGAGCACTTCCTCTCATTTTTTGCTATACATATCATTGCTATGACGTCATGCCTTTGTCCTTACAGTCTAAAAATTTACCTGTAGCCATCCGATAATAATAATATTACCAGTCCAATAATATATTATCGGACGGCAGTGATAACAAAATGGGACAGTATTTAAAAAACAACATCTAGAGTGAAATCAAGGTTTAATATGTCCAGCAACCAAAATAAAAGGAGAATAAACAAAATCAGGGAAAGCAAACGCAAGGAAATTTAATTTTACAAAATAGCAAATCCATGAAGAAGAAAATGGAGTTTTAACCTTCCTCAAAAGGAATACTTTCCATTTTTTTGCTAAGCGTTTTCGATACAGCACTGTAAATAAGAAAATTTAAATCCATTTCTGATAAGGAAACTGCGAATCCCATTTGTTAACGAGGTTTGTTCGCCAATGACCGCACTTTTAAAACCTAAGATTTTCATTGTATCATCTAACTAAAAATTTTAGATAAAAACCCACTTCTTTACTTTTCATGCATGGTGAAGATATCATCAAGCACTTTGTCTGTATCAGTGTCAAACACACTTAAAAAAAGTGTTCCGAATCGTAACAAAATTCCTTCATCACCTGACCATTGTCCGTAGTTCCTGCTAAGCCAAACGACTGCCATTGAATGAATGAATGAAACAAAAGATTTCAATCACTGTTTTTACTCTCTAAAGAAAAAACTTTCTCTTTTCTTTTGTCTACTTATTAGATAGTTTCAGGTAGAAAACTATTGATGCCTGAACTCCTATTGTGTAATTATCGGATAATTTTACATATAGAACAGTATTCGGGATATATCCATTACTTAACATATAACAAAGATCTATTTCAGCACGTGAATTTCTACGTCCTTTTTTTATCAGCATTCAAACATACATGGTTAATAAAATTAGACAACTGTTGCATTGTTTTTTAATCACTTTAATTTGACGATAATGTATTTCTACCCTCTATCTACCCTAATCTAGTTTGATTATCATTTCCATTTAATTTGTTCAATGTTTTACAATCGATCAATGAAAAGTAAACTAGTATAAGAAATGAAAAGAATAGTAAGGCAAGTGTAACAGCTTACAATAAAAAATGTATCATATACTTTTCCTACTTTGGGTTTTTTTTTTGGGGGGGGGGGGATCTTGCTTGTAATTTAATTTAATTTAAACATATTTTATTGAGTAATTCAATAAGGATTGGGCAACAGGCAAGGCCTATGCACACCCTCTCCTTGTATAATAGGTCAAGACATAGACATTGAATAATAATACTTGAACATGGTAATAAACTTGCTAATAATGGAAAATAAAGATTCATAATCAAGTATTATTCATCAGTATCATAAAAAAGATGATAACCCCCTAATTGTATACAAATTATTTACATACTGTTCCAGCTTTCATATGAATATTGTAAAAATAATATATATATATATATATATATATATATATATATATATATATATATATATATATATATATATACATTCAACAGAGTATTTAATATTATAGTGTACTCAACTAAGTCTCTTAGTAGATTTTATAAATTTATGTACATATGAAAATATTTTACAATTTGTTTGATAGGAATATTGACTTTTGCCTCTTAACAGAGTGTCGAGTTCAAAGACAACATCAATATCATTTAATTTTTTTACCAGTAAATTTCTTTGAACAATATATGATGGACATTTGATAAAGTAATGTTCAGTATCCTCTGTATAAAATCCACATTTTTGACATGATTGTACGTCTGATAAAAAATGATTTTTTAAATGTGCATTGAGATTGCTAGCATTGTTTCGCAACTGACAATGTAAGATATTCTCTTTTTTATTACCAAAGTTAAAGTACCTACATGGTTTATTAGTTACTCCCCAACTTTTAAGCTTTGCTTTAAAGATAGATAATGATGAAGAGTTTTTGATATCCTCACTAAGACTGTTCCAAAGTTTTATAGTTGAGGGAATAAAACTATTATAGTAAGACATTGTTTTACAAACTGGTATACACAAAGTATTACATCCAGACCTTAGGTTGTATGCATGTGGAACTGGAAAAAAAGGTTGAATCAATTCATACAAATAATCAGGTGCAGAACCATTAATCATTTTCTACATCAATATAAGTTTGTGTTTTTCTCTTCTAAGATATAATGGTTCCCATCCTAGTTCATCATACAAGCAAGTTCTGGAAGAATTAACTTGCTTGTGAAAATACTTTAAAATATTAGATATGTTTATGCAGCCGATTTTCCTGAGAAAACTGCGACGAAAATTTTGTACGGACAGACGCAAGGATAAACAGGAAGTTGACATCAGATTTGCACAAAAATGAATACCATCATATGGCATGCATAGGCAAAGAGTGTGCTAAAATTTCAAGCATCTGCGATGAGTATAGTTGCTGGGAAAACTGCAACGAAAATTTGATACGGACAAACACTCAGCTACACAGATAGACAGCTAGACAGAGTTTGCAGTATTTTGTTGTATCGCGGCTCCTGGTTTCAAGAGCAATTTTTTTTGTCGAAATAAGTCCGACAAGTGAATATAAATTAAGTCCGACAAGTGAATATAAATTTTCTGTAGGTCTCATTCATACTTTTATTTTAAAAAGATCAGTAAATTTTTTCACTCGAAGAATTATTTACTGTGCTCTGGATAGAAATTCTTCCTAACGTAACAGACAGAACGCCGTTTTTGGCGAAGTGAAGGTTCCTGAATGATTATTTGCAATAAGCATAATATATTAAATTATTTTCAACTCTATTAAATAAACATGTAACAATAACAAACACCCTAAGTAATATGAATTTCTTCATTTCAAAATAACATATCACAAGTCAAAACAATATTTAAAAATGACAATGTTAAGATTATATTTAACGAAAATAATCATATACGTTTTCCAGATTTTCTCAGAAAGTTTTTTTTTAATTGAATGGTGCTATTCGAACAAACGCTGCAATATTATATACTCATGTTTCATTATATACCACATTCAATGCTCTTAAATATATATCAAAAATATCTGAAGCGGCGAGTACAAGTGCCTTTATCGTTATTTTTCGAGCATTTCTTTCATGGCATAAATCGCAAGTATTTAAATTTGAGAATAATGCATTGTTTTTTTCCAAAGAATTTTTTTAATGTTACCCCCCCCCCCCCAATTTTGTATAAAAGATAGCAAGCTTGTCAAGTTGGGGAGGCATAAAGACCCCCCTTATTTTAAACAACGCGACAGGATCCTTTGCTCTCATTTTTAGCAATGTTCCGATTGTTGGTTTTGGGATCTGGGTAATATAGAGTTCTTGGATATGGGTAGGCCTACAGATCTCTGTCAATCTTCATACGTGATCTGAATATGTGGCACATCATATTAACAACCATTCCTCACCTACAGCGTTCAAAGAAGCGCTTTTTAAATACCGATAATTCCATTCATGAGTACCGAAGGGTTGCAGTTACACTAGATTGATTCTATGTCTGGAGAAATGAAACAACCTTTAATTCTATATTTTGATTAAAACATTTATCTCACCTGGCATGCAATGACGAGATTTATGAGTAATAATTTAATTTTACAAACCTACGCAAATCACGCAAGCATCACTTTGGAATAAAATGAAAGTCAACAACATACTAGTAATACAAAGCCATGTGTCAACAAAATACAGAAATAATAATTGATTGGTACTACACTTGGGTATTGAAATCCTACCACCAATATAAAAAGATCTGCTGCTGTCTCAGTAAGTTGCAGTATTTCTTGTCAAGTGTAAGAGACCGCGCTGGAATCACGGTCTTCGATATTTCATACCAGCCAAAGATATCGCACTAAACGCAGTGTACGTATTCATAAAGGAACACATTTTTTTCATTGCCATTTCACCGATATTATCTAAGGCATAGATGTTTTTCTTCAGAGGAAATATTTCTGCCTTAATTTGAGATCGGGTCCTGCACAAGCCATATTCTATTTGGAAAACACCGTAAGTAAAACTTAACTTAGTAAAATGCATGTTTCCCCTACATGTAAGCGTTCACGAAAAATTCGCTGAACGAAACAGCAAGTTCAACTTTTCTTTTTAAAATGCAGAATTCAAAATTTTTCTTTCTGAAATTTTTTAAAAACTTTATTTGACCAAAAATATTTGCAATATCTATTACATTTAAAATTAATATGTCAGCAAATCTAGCAATATATTTGAAAAAAAAAATAAAAGCTAATTTTTATAATCGTCTGTCCGTATTTCTCGTAATACAAGATTTCTTGTGCTCTTTCCACATGAAATTTTCAAGATACTCGTCAGAAAAAAAATATAGAACGCGTTTCTCATCTTTCTTAAATAATAATTTATTTAAAATGTAGTTGAGAATAATTTAAAAAAAAAAAAATAAACGAATGAATGTATCAGTTTGGTTTAGGATTCATCTAATGATTGATAATACAGATAAGTTAATGCATACAAAACAGCTGCAAACAGTGGCAACTTTACAAGCCACTGACTTGATTCCTCCATGTCTCATCTGTCAAGTCTTTGATGAATTCATGGTTATGATATAAAGAAAAGAAACGTGAAATACTTTTGCACCTTAGGTCTACTCACTGAAGAAGAGATAGTGTCCTTAGACTTTCTACCTTGTTAGTAATTGTTAAGAAGTATTCTTGGGTTATACAGCACTTTTATTCCAACAATCTCTAAAGTACAAGGACCTTGCATTAGCTTACTGAACGACAGATTCATGTAATTTGAAGCTTATATGATTACTAACTCAACACCACTCGTCCGGACTTAATAAATGATTATGCAATAAAAAAAAAATTACAACCTCGCTAATGCTAAAAAAAAAACTCCTGCTCTTCAAGAAAAATTAACACCCAGCAGATAAAAAACAAATTTCCATGCTTCTCGTACCATTATAAGCCTGCATTCTAAGACTTCTTGAATATATCACACTTCAAATGATAATGCCTGTAGTACTAAAATCATTCACAATACAAGAAATTCTCACAGCTGCCGTAGTCTAACACGTATATAAAGGAAATCATAATACCTTTGGCATCACAGAAAAGTAGTACATGAAAAAACAACTCTAGTATTTATATATAACCTATAGGTCAACTCCATTATAAGGATATGTAGTCCCTATGCGGAAGCTTGTATAAATGAAAGTAGTAATTTGGTTTCCACTTGTCCTTTATAGTTGACAATATATATTACTGTTGATCATAGTTTACAGTTTCTTTTCTATCCTACTGTCAACCTTACATGGTCGACAGTTGATAGTTTCCTTTCTAATCAACTGTCAACCTTACACAGTTGACAGTTTTCATTGTAATCTACTGTCAACCGTAGACAGCGAACAGTTGACAATCAACAATTGTCCCCGGTCGACAATAGGACATGAATATGGAAAGTGTCAACTGTCAACCGTAGACCTGTCCCCGGCCGACACTAAAGCATGACTATGAAAAGTGTCAACTGTCAACCGTAGACCTGTCCCCGGGCAAAACTAGAAATATGACTTACAATCATTAGACTGGTCTGTAGAACTTGAAATGTAGGAACATGTGCAAAAAGTAGTAATTTTACAGGCACTATTCTATTCATCTATTGGAGTTTCACCTCGCTCCTCATCCTCAATATTAATACTAGTTAAGTAAGTGAATATTAGGGACATGTGTATAAATACAAAATACAACAGAATCTAATTTTTATATTACACTTTGATTACTTTATATATATATAACATATTTATTAAGAGCGCATGAAATCAATGACACTTTTGAAATGCTGAATAGAATCAATTCAGTTTGAAATGGTACATTTTTCACGAAAGAATTTGTCTCTGACATTTTTAAAAGATTTGCAGTGAATGTTTTTCATCCTCTAATAACGTTCTGGTAGTCGCTCATTTCGATATCGATCTGTTTCAATCCGGAGAAGGAGGATCCCCCTATCTACACTGTGCCATTAATCACATTCATTTTAGTAAAATTACAGTTCGAAGTTATGTTTGAAAGTCACAAATATTATCAATTTAGGTAAAGAAATTTTCATTCTCCTTCACAAAACTAGAGAGATGAAATGCAAATCACTGAATAGATAATAAAATAAGATAATGGGAAAGTTTCACTTCTTAGTCAGGCCGTAGACTATGTTAAAAGGCTGGCATCATCCTTTACAAAGTGGTTCGTACATTGTTTCATTTGAAAATTATCTGCTCTACAGATGTTCCACCCCCTGGTTTTATTTGGATCTTATCTTAAAAGACCGTTTCCCTCAGAAAAGGCGAAGAAAGATGCTGATATATCTAACACCTTTCTAAAACGAAAGGATGCAAATCGTTAGAAGAGTGTGGTTTACAACAGCACCGTTAACCCCGTATAACCCTGGATATTATATGGATTGAGTGACAAGCATTCAAAATCTCAATAACACCAGACCTCTTTAAGGAATTAAATAAAAGCATGGCAGAGTGTCAAGCGAAGAATGGTCTTACGTGCTAATAAGAGCAATTACCCCACCATTTGGGGAGGGGGACTCAAATGACTCTTTTAGAATAGTATTTAAAATCACTTCGTTGCTCCAGGGTTGGATCAATCTGTCAATAGATACAACTCACTTAAGATAGTGAAGAAAGAAGCCCTCCCATTGCAACAATAAGGTTCCAGTAGTTTTACAATGGTTTACTAGAATGGACAGTCAATTATCGTCCGAAGACAGAAAGAATCGGGTTAAATTAACAGAGAAATGTCATCGTTCTCGGGTTAGGGAAAATACTTGGAAAACAATATTCATCTCTACAATATGATGTTTTACACCAAATCATAATGTCAAAAGTAATTCTTTTTCTCTAAAACCTATAACGTTGCTAACAAAAAACAAAAACAAAACAAAACACACACACACACACACACACAAAAACAAGAACCAAAAAGAAAAAAACAAAAAACAACATCGTGGCAATTATAAGATCAGATTATCAAACGATGAAATACTGAAGCATTCCTGGAATAAAAAATGTAATTGTAATAAGACCAGTCTTTGCATTGTAAATTCACTATTCATTATTCTGTGATTCTGAATTTTTAAATATTTAGTGCCAGGGATCCTTATCCAACCCAAGAAAGGAAAAAAAGGATTTAAGGGTACACCCCTCACAATCAAATCAATCGATTGACTGTTTCAGCAATTCAAAAGAAACCTGATTCCAAAGTAAACCGGTTAAGTATAATGAACATCTTTTAGTCTCCGCAAAGGTTAGTAAAAGCGGACTAGAGAATTCTTGTGGTTTTAGGAAGTAGCCTACTGCTGCGTGCTTGCTAATCTCTACTACTTCCCCTCTACCTTAACAGATCACGTAGTGAAATGTGGAAAAAACAATTATCTAAATGGTGTCATCCATTCATATAAAAATAAGACGGTGTACTTCGTCATGTCGTGAAATGCTATGAAAAATAAGACGAGATTGTTTTTATTTAGCAAATAAAAGAATACGTCAATCGCACGTGATTAATGAGAGACCAATCGCGCTACAGGAAATGTTTTTCCAAAGAACTCGGAATCAACGAAAAATAACTTCAAAAAAGCAATTGTTCTCTAGACTCTATATTGTATTTCCCCATACTTTACACAAACCAATCTTAGACTTGACATTTTGGTAAATAGTTGTAATATTTTCCGGATTCTATGAATCCACTGATTAATATAGATTTTCAGCAAATCTAAATGAGGGACAAGCAAAATATCACTCTATTTTTTAAAACGGAACAAGTGATTTTTTTTTTTTTTTTTTTTTTTTTTTTGCTATGCAACTCTTGCAAACAAATTATTCCTTTAAAATTATGATGAATTTTCCTTTTGTTTGACTAAATGCTATGGGAATTTTGGCAAAGTTTTCTGCTCATACTATCAAGACCCCAAACATGCAACTTCTGTGTCTAAACCTTCGTGTCACAGTGAAATTTAACAATTCGTTCATCTCTTTCTTTCTACAAAATGTTAATCCTACTGTTATTAAAACTTCTGACTTTTTTTTTCAGTATAAACATCATCACCATATTTCAATGAAAACTGAGATTTAGACGAATTTTTCCTGTCTTCTGAGAAAGTGGTGTCCTGGTCAGGAAAAAAGTGATTTATCACAACAATATATCAAATTAGCGTTATTCTTTACGAAATGGATAAGATAAAGAACGTTTTATCAAACTAGCCACATCATGGCATACGAGGGATACAGCCAGGAAAATTTGACTAAACTATACATCACCCACACAGACGTCAGTGCTACGAAGACCGCTATGTGTGAGACAGCCCGTTTTATAGAAACTGCAGTGATGGGGTACTTAGCAATTGTCATCGTTGTACTAGGAATGATTGGAAACAGTCTCTCTATTGTTGTGTTAACGAGAAAGGCGATGCATACTTCTACCAACTGCTACTTGTTGGCACTAGCTATCTGGGATACCGTGGTAATAATCTGTACCTTACTTCTGATGAGTATCCCCTCCTTGTCTTCCGAGTTCAGGGATCACGTGATGCCATACGTGGTGGTATTAGTGTACCCTCTGGCTCTGACAGCCCAAATGTCCACTCTTTGGCTTACTGTGTCCTTCACAGTGGAACGGTACATCGCTGTCTGTCATCCACTACGAGCTGCCCGAATGTGTACAGTAGCGCGAGCACGTGTTGTCATAGTGATAGTATCTGTTGTGTCTGTTCTGTTCAATATGAGTCGTTGGTTTGAATATCGTTTGAAATTCCACGATCCTGGGCAGTTTAGTAACAACCGGTCGGCAATATCTTACGAACAGACCGATTTAGTGAATAACGACGATTACAAGCAAGTTTATTTCTTCTGGCTCTATCTTCTAGTTATGTTTATAGTCCCTCTGATCTCTCTCTCGGTGCTCAACACATTTCTGATCCTTGCCGTCCGTCAGTCTCAGATCCAGCGAAAAGACATGAACGTCCGACAGTCACGTGAGAATAACGTGACCATCATGCTGGTCTCTATCATCATTGTGTTTATCATCTGTCAAATTCCAGCACTGATCTACAATCTAGCTTGGGCCATCGACATGCATACTGTAAAGATGGCGTGTGGATGGAACGTGCTTTCTACTTTCCGTAACTTCATGGTGACTCTAAACAGCTGTGTTAACTTCATACTCTACTGTGCGTTAGGACAACGATTCCGTCACACGTTCATCCGGTCATTCTGTCGTTGCTTGATATTGACAGAAAATGGTAATTCCTTTCGGTATGTTAACTCTGCTATGATGGCGTCATCCTCCATGAATACCTATTCCAAATACCGGTTAGTTCGAGCTAAGCAGGGACTCTTGACATTCCGAATGAACGATATGTCACCTCCTACAGGTCTACATAGGAGATCGACACTACAGACGTCAATGCAGCCCTCTAAGGATACCACGAAAGTGTCTCTGATGGACGGAGGAACAGGAACAAAGCACTCTCAGGGCAGTTCTTCCGATACAACCCACGGCACTTCCCCCTCTAAGGACTCCCTCAACAATGATATGTCCGACAAAGAGGCTGACACTACAAATATGGTGAAACCTTTGGATCTACTTTGAACAACATGTGTTCGGTGTCACAGACGTAAAATATACTTAATAAAGTTAATGACTTGTTTATCAACTTTGGTCAAAAGCAAAAACAAAGGCAACAAAGGAAGGACATTCCCATTACATTCCATCTTAATCGGATATGACCATCAACAAAAACAAACAAGGCTTAAATGCAACTTGCAAAAAGATTTTTTTTATGATATTTGATTAAAATCTTTAAAAGTCATGTGCTGTTTTTTATGTTAGACAATACATATAAGGCATATTCCTTAATTAAATATCATTTTCTGTGAAGGGCTTTTCTTTTGCAAGCTAGGGAAAGGAAGTGGGTATTTACCATACATATCAGTTATACCTTCTAAAGAATGGTTTGTATCTAGTGTAGTTATCCCCGTCCGTCACATTTTTTAGAGGCAACCAAAAATGTCTTTATATTTATAATTGGTCTGGCTCTATACATGAAGTATGGAGATAACGAACGGTATTCAAGCTCAAAAGTCCATTCAAACAATACGAATCAGGAGTAGAGCAAACACGGGCCTCTAAAACATGACAGGTGAGATCAGGTGCCATGGATCCTCTGCCGACCGGTCACACCCGCCGTGTATTCCTTGTCATGATCGGGAAAAACGGAAAAATCCGTAGACAATTCAGTGTGTAAATCATGGCCTAACAATTAGTATAAAAAGCATCGGTCAGCATGTGACTTAAAGATAGATTATATTTGCTGACAAGGTCAGTGAATCGACCATAGAACTTGCTAAATAATGACTTTAAACGAGACTGTTGATATTCTCGTTTCATCAACTTGTTTGTCAAAAGCTTGCTTCGTTTTAGAAATTGTTCGTACGTACAGCATGCTCCTGCGTATCGGATCAACTGAAAGACATAAACCGCATATACAGTGATGAGGTTATTTTGCTACATACATGTACATGTAAGTAAGGAAAGTTGACGATTGAAAAAATTGAAGTCATCACGTTTATCATAAAGCTTGGTTGTTAGGTTACCATTAACGTCTTTTTCTAGTAAAATATCCAAATATAAAACAGATGTGCGAAACTCTGTGGTATCTTTTATTTCAAGCTCACTGGGATATATCTAGTCGATATATGTATGTAAGTAACTATTGTTAATTGATAATACGTCGTCGATATATATAAATGTCCAGTTGAAGGCCACAGCAATTGTTTTCTTCTTCTCATGTTTAAGATTTTAAATATATTTTGTTTCATAAGAATACAAAAATAGGTGCTAATAACGGGGCGCAACTTGTACCCATGTGAATTCCGACAGATTGTTAGAAGATCTGGTCTCCAATATCTACATAGATATTATCAATCAGAAACTCAATCATCTGTTTAATATCAACTTCAGAGAACTTGTGTGTACAATCAGAATGTTTTTTTTTAACAAAATAATGTTGTAAATGACCGATGACAAGGTAAGTAAATTTACGAGTTCCATCTGTACTGAAAAAAAACCCACAGCTGCCAATGATATCAAAAAGCCTGAACTTTAATTTATAATGGGGAATGGATGTATAAAGTGTTGAAAAGTCGTACGTTTTGATGGTTTTGATTTTGGTAAAATTTTGTGATTTCAAATTTTCTAAAAGTTCCTTGGAATTTTAAGTATCCACATCTGGTTTACACCCACTTTTCGAAAATATTGTTGTACAGTACTCCTGAAGTCTCTCCTTCACTGTTGTTAATATTTAAGTGAGAAGTAAAGAAAGAGGCTTGGTATGAATTTACTGGAACACGCTCGTTATTAAAGTCTGGCAATTAGGTCCTGAAAACTCAATTTTGGCCCCAGGAGCTAGATATGTTATGGCGCTTGTCAATGGAACGCTTTCTACATTTTTTTAAATGGTAGAAAAAAAATCTTTTATTTTGCGTATGTATAATCATAACATGCAATAAGGTTTCGGAAATAATCAGGCTGTTCAGCACTCTGAAAATAAAAAGGGTGTATTTGGGGATAATTTTTTTTTTTGGGGGGGGGGGGGGGCTAATTAAGGGCTTAAACTAGGAATTTTATAACTAAATAAGGCACTTTTAGACATTTCATTGAAATTGCCTTCGCAAATTTGAACCCCCCCCCCAAAAAATAAATAATCTTGCAAAAAATAATTTAAGAAGAGGAAGGGCATCTTGACATTGGTCAAATGCGTTTAACTGCATAATCTGAATAAGAACTGCAAACAACATTAGGAATCATTTTTGAATGAATGCATTTTCAAAATTGCTAGAATAGAAATATAGTAAAAAATAGGAATTGACTTAAAAAAGTATGGGTTTTCTTTAAAGATTTCCCCTTGATTTCAACATTTTTCTTTTTTGGGGGCGGGGGGGGGGGGTTAAACTAAAATAAAATAGTTTTTTAAGGAATTTTAGGACAGCCTGGAATTTTAATGTCTGCCACACGCACCAGGCTTCCTATAGAAGCTCAAGAAGATGATGTTCCTTATGAAAGTTTATAAAATTTTCCCCACATTTTTATTTTTAAGAAATGATTTTATTAATGATTAGCAATGCTAAGATAATGTTGCAGAATGAAATATGAAGAATATACAACGAGCAGTATTTGAGCTCATAGTCCATTTACGCAATACAAATCGAGAGAGAGCAAGTTTACACGGACCTCGAAAAACAGGGGCGGGAGCAGGTGCCATGGAGAAGTAAGCATCCACTGTCAACCGATCATACCCGCCGTGTGCTCCTTTTCATGATCGGGTAAACGGGAAAATCCGTAGAAATTTCAATGTGTAAAAAATGGCCTAACAATTAGTATGACAAACACCAGTCAGCATTTGACCTAATGATATGTTGCATTTGCTGATAAGGTCATTGGATCGACCATAGAACTTGCGAAATGATGACTTCAAACGAGACTGTTAACGTTGATATCCTCTTTTCATCAATCTGTTGGTTAATAGCTAGAGCTGGGACGATACATCGAGATATCAATAATATCGATTCAATGTGAGGATGATACGCATATCGATACATATGAAGAAATATATCGAAATATCGCAAAAAAAATTCTGACTTACGTTCTTCTTTGTTTACTTTACATTTTGGATTAAATATATAATATTAATATGCTAAATATTTATATAAATACGAAATACATAATAATTTTCATCTCTTGTGTAAAATTATTTTCTTTTACAACAGGTATACAACTTCTTTGAATAAATTATTCTTATTTGTGAAGAAATGTTTCGTTCATTTCAATTCAAAAAAGACATTTTATAACCAATTCAACATATCCTGATACATATCGTATCGTGGCTCAAATATTGTGTTACATATCGATAAAGAAAAAGTTGTATCGTCCCAGCCCTATTAATAGCTAGTCTCGTTTTAAAAATTGATCGTACGTATAGCATGCTTTTGCGTATCGAATCAGCTGAGAGACATAAACCACATATGCAAGTGATGAAGGTATAGGCCTATTGCTACAAAAGTAAGAGAAGTTCATGGCCGTAGGAACCGGGTGGGGGAGGGCACGGGGGGCCGTGTCCCCCCCCATTAATTTTTTCCGATATATAGAATACTATAGAAAACATAGCTACTATATGCTAGTGCCCCTTCAAGAATAACGTCTGGTGACCTTTTTTTTTCTTTTTTCTTTTTTTTTTTTTTTGCTTGTCAAGGAATATTGGTAGTTGATAGTGCCCCGCCGCCCCCCCCCCTCCCCCCCCCAACTGATAATGTATGGTTGTGCCCCTCAAAGTGAAAATGCTTCCTACGGGCCTGACCTTGACGATAGAAAAGTTGAAGTCAACACGTTTATCATACAGTTTTGTTGTTAGGTTACCATTTACGTCTTTTTCTAGTAAAATATCCAAGTATGAACCAGACGTGTCGGACTCTGTGGTGTCTTTTATTTCAAGTTCACTGAGAGATATATCGAATCAACACATGAATGGAAGTGAATCTAATTAAAATTAGACCTTTCATCTCGCTCTTCGTAAATTTATTTGTCGCACGTGAAACAGCGACAAATAAATTTACGAAGAGCGAGATGAAAGGTCTAATTTTAATTAGATTGGAATGGAAGTAACTATTTTAATTGATAATACTTCGTTGATACATCTAAATGTCGAGTTGAAGACCACAACGAGCGTTTCCTTCTCATGTTTAAGATTTTAAATAAATTCTACTTGATATGAATACCCATCGTCGACAACCCACGGCCAATCTCGCACACGCTTATCAATAAGCGTATGCGAGATTGGCCGTGAGTTTCCGACGATGATGAATACTAAAATCTGCTTATAACATGGCGCAATTGGTGCCCGTGGGAATTCCGACAGATTGTTGGAAGATCTGGTCTCCAAAAACATCATAGATATTGTCGATCAGAAAAACAAACATCTTTTCAATATCAAATTCAAAATACTTTTGTGTACAATCAGAATGTTTTTTTAACAAAATACATGTAATGTTGTAAATGACCAGTGACAAAGTAAGTAAATTTACGAGTTCCATTTTTACTGAAAAAATAGTTGTCAATGATGTCAAAAAGCGACTTTAATTTATAATGGGGAAGTATAAAGTGTTTGAAAAGTCGTACGTTTTGATGGTTTTGATTTTAATTCGGTAAAATTAACGATAACGATAGAAATGAGACCCTTATTAGGTAGATATAGTACAGAATCGGTTTTAGACATGTTATAATATTACAGGAAAGAAGAGTACGAGAATTTACATTTATGTACAATCTGAATTTTAAAAAGATATCAATTGACCGAAATTCAACGCTCCAAATAAAAAATGAGACATTGATAACTGTCTGTAGAGAAAAAAACACAACAGAGTATGTTGCATTAACAGATAATAATTATATATACACAAATGTGATGCTGAAATAATACAAGGAAAAACAAGACTCTTGCTAAATAAACTGAATAGAATACGCACACATCCATAAAAAGGGGGGGGGGTATAATCACTAAGGAATACACTGATTACAAAAATCTCTTGGTAGCTACTGTATACATGTACTTCTGGTCAGATTTTAAAATTGCTATATTTTCTGTTAATAGAGATTTAAATCAAATAATAAGTTGGTGTTGATGTTATGAAGAAAAGTATAAATAAATATTACAGGATACTTCTTTTAAAATAGGGACGTTGTAGTAGATAATGTTCAGAGTTTATA